ACAAAGCGGCACAACTAATGTCCATTTTGAACATATAACACTACTATTGGAGACTTTACAGCTTTTATGTGAACCAAATATAGACAACGATTTGTTCCAAGAGTATGTAATATTATAAAAATAACTTGCGTAAATCCATTGTGTTTTTTGTAAGTAAACAATAAGGAATAAACGCCTACCAATACATGAGTATTTCTATTGCTCTATACTTTAAGTCTATTGAAAAAACAAGGTCTAAATCAATCGGTTATCCATGGACAAATTTCTATCAGCCCATGAGCGGCTGGTTCTGATAAGACAGAGTCCACAACAAATTGGTATTATCCTATCTATTCGCCAGTTAGCCTCTGTTTACCACTGCCCATTCGTCAGAATATTTCTATGATTTTAGTATTTCGTAATAGTAAGAGGCTAATTGGCGAATAAATAGTATTTACATGTGTTTTCCTGACCGCTCTCGAAACCTTTTCTTTCTTTCTGTGGTTTTGAAAAAAAAAATTACTTTGACCACAGCTGTCAATCGATTAGAAACCTGTGTTTTATTAACTTATATCATTGGGTAGATCATATAAGGAAAGATGGTAAACTTAGAATAAACAATCACTCGTGACTAAGAAGCTTTGATAGTACGGGTTTGGCCTATTTGGCAAGATAGTGTAGAGATAAAAATTACGCTGACTTTGAAAGAAGCGCTTATTATTTCTCGCATGTGAACTTCATCTGAGCAAATTACAAATCTTGCAGGAAAATAACTTCATCTTGTCTCCATAGAGGCTTATCGTGCTAAATTTCGCATAATGTAAGACGTTATCGAGCTATGTACTAATAACCTCTATCTTAACATGTAGACTTTTTGTGCTTTTATGTTTAAAAATAGTAGGAGTAATATTAATGTATATGAGTTCTCCTCAGATTTACCAACAAATTTGTGAGTTTTCATAATAAATCACTTCATATTTGTCGGAAATTCTTCTAGTTTTTTAATGTTTGGTAAAGAATGGCATGTACAGCAAAAAGTGATAGAATACTTTGGTCAGATGTCTACGACATCATGAACTATGAAAATGATGAATTAAACCTAAATTTTTGTCTGCAGCTGGTGGACTTTAATGTAAACACTTCATATAATCACACATCAAACCATAATGTAATGGCGTCTACTTCGTTAGCATAAGACATGACCAGGGCAGGAGAAAAAAGTTTTCTAAGACGCCGTTTGTTTTGGGTGAGACAATATTGTTTCTTCTTACAGATTGGACTACGAATCTTTTTTAAAAATT